TGCCTTCTGTCAGACATTTCTACCGTTGGAGTGGTAAAAATGTGCACCCATCCGAATAAATCAATGCAACATGTGGTGGCGCGCAGCATTCCCAGAACGCCCTGAGGAGGTGGCAATCCTGAAGCTTCACGAGGCAAGTCTGTGAGCGTTTGCTCTTTGATTGTTTGGCCTGTCTCTGTCTGGAGCTGATAAACTGATAAACCACTGCAAAGACATGTTTGCCTCCTGTTACCTGTCGTGAGCAGCGATTATGCTGGCCGTGCTGCAGCAGCCACTGGGGACATTGCCGGTGACTAAAACATTCCCACATGGGTGGTTCGGTGGCCGCAGGGAATGCCATAAGCATCTTTCTAGTTTGAAGCAGTGCTTGTAAGACACTATTGTAGCAGTGTAACAGAAGGTGGCATATTTTCTAAATGGCAAAGCAGTGCCGGCTCAGCAGAAAGTGCGACAGTCTGCTTGTCGCCACAAAGCTTACAAGAGCTCCCGAGCAACTGCAGGTTCGCAACTCCAAGAAGTATGGGCTGATGAAGGCCCGGTCCATCCAGGCAATTCAGGCAGTCGGCAGACAGCCAGATGCTAGGCATACCAATCCACGCTGGAGAAGCTCGCAACCTCAAAAGAGGGCAGCGTGTGGGGCTCAGGGAGTAAAGTTCTGGGTTGATAAAGGAGGTAAGACTGGCGAGCTACAGAAGCGTCTCACGTAAAGGTCCATGTGCCCGTGGACATGGGACCCGTCGCTAACGACACAGGCTTCGACAGGATGGTGGACACGTGCCTGCGGCACGTCTTGAGGTTGCCGTAAAGTTGCGGTGGTATGCGCTCACGGGCCGGTGCGGCAGGTCGTTTCTGAAGGATTTGGGGTTCTTTGAAAAGCTGCAGACTCAGCACTTGCGGAGACAAACGTGGCTACATGGACTCGACTCCTTTCGAAACTTTCGAGGCTTGCAGCAAGCGCGCAAGGTATAACATACAACCGACCCAAGGCCAAAAGATGCCGCAGAGTCACCTCACCTTAGCACGCAATTTACGTCCAGGTGACCTCCATGGTGGGTGTGGACGCGATGCGCTTCCTCAATGACCTCTTCGGCGGCATCCGTGGAGGCAGCCTCTTTTGGTCGCAGTGCAAAGTGAACTTCAAGTTGCTTCCTAAGTATTGTTCAGTATGATTCATCATGGATCTCAAGGATCAGTTGATATCCCACTATTTCTCCTGTACGAGTTGTTCACCGGGACCATCTCTGTGGAGGCCTGGGGAGATGGTGCCAGTGGTACCTGTGTGCCAAAGGGGAAATGTTTGTCTTCTGTTGCTGCATCTCATTGCAAAATAAGCGCATGCTGCATGTGGGACAGATGGTGAACAAGGAGGCCCAGCAGGACACCTGGTAGCGACCTCTGTGCTCATGCTGCCAAGTGATGCAAGGTATGGTCTTAGGAGTGGGCCCGCAGAATGTTCTCTTTCCGACACCAAGTTTCTGCCCGTGCAGGACCTTGCAAGCCTCCTGCTTCGAGTAATTGCGCGGTCTGAGACAGGCCGCATGGGGACTTGCACTTTGCCAGCTTAATTCGCAAGCAATCGCCGCCACTGTTGAGGTGCAGAGTGGTCAGTGCTCAGAGCTTTGGAAAGGAATCCACAGGCTCCCTTGCCTTGAAGTGTGGTCATGGCAAAGAGTGGCAGAGCTGATTGCAAGGTCTGCGGCAACATGCCAAAGTGGGGCTCAGATGAGGAGCGCCATGAAGAACGCGCATACAACAGCCAATTCTTTTGCCTATGCATCTCTGAGAAGGCAAAGAAATCCTGGGCACTCCCAGGCTACCTTTGCAGCTGCACTGTTGCATTCTTGAACATGATGTTTCGCAGATTCGCCTTGCAGGTGGTCATCACTTTGACAGAAATTCTGCGTCAACGCTGATGAAGGCACTGAGGAACACCAGCAGCCAACAAGTACCAGGAGTAAGCTCCAGTCGTAGTGCTATGCAATGGAATCGTTTGTAAGTTTGTCCTACGTTCCGTATTAGGACCCGCCATCGCATGTTAGCTTGAACTGCCTTGTCCTGTAGACGTGAGAAATCATTCAGACCCGGATTAAGAATCATGATGCGAGTTCATGTGCGGTGACACACATTATGACAATAGCTCAAAGCACTACTACTAGTGCATTCGGCGCAGCGTGCGCTCCAGCAAGCGACACATACGTGACGGCACCTGCACTGAATGTGTGTTTTGTAGGCTGCTGCCAACAAGCTAAAGAGCATGGAGAAGGACATGCAGCACTCGAAATTGGTTCAACTTGCCTGAGAACTCAGGGCGGTTCCTATACAATCTTTAGTGTTGAAGGCCCTTACAGTGCCTTACACATTAAGGGTGTGCGGGTTGGGGGATTATGGATTTTGCTGGTTTCCGTCCCTTCTCCTGAAGGCCTTTACGGATTATTCAAAAAACAAAGATTCAACCAGGAGATTTGCTAGGTTCCTGGCCCGGGTTGCTTCTGTAGCCTAGTGGTCAAAGAGTAGGCTCTGACCCTTGCAATAACACATTTTCCACCATTGCTTGATGAGGCTACATATACCCAGTAGGATTACGGATCGCAACGGTTCACGGAACCCAAGTGGCTTCGGATTGCAGATTACGGATAGAGATTGTCCTGCATTCTTTAAAAGCTGCCCAGGAACTCGCATGGTTCAGGTAAGGTAAGCCTGCTCGACAGCTGCTTTCGTGAGAAGTGATGTTGCTTGTAATTGGAGGAGCTGTACTTGCAGCCAAAATTTGCGGAAGCTCCGCGCGCCCAAGAAACACTGGTGATCCAGGACGCCGCAGGCACAGTGCTTCACGTTGGATAGATTTTGATAGTTTTATGGGTTGTTGAAGGAGTGCTGAGGTGACAAGCCAACGCAGTGCTGCAGTGCTTGCTTCGTGTGCAGGCTTTGTGAAAAGCGTCCGCTTTCAGTCTCCGCCAATCACTTCTGACGTCAGATGCTGCCAGAAGCCTATGCAGCCTCATTTCATTCTTGCATCTGGCATGGGAGCTGCTTCTTGTCACACACGCACAGGCTCCAGGGCTTTCAAGCCAACTACCGAGCTTTCGGCTGAGCGGCCCCTTGCAGGCAGCGCTATCAGCCTCCAGGTGCAGGTTGTATTGGTGGCATTATGTGGCGATCAGGTCTGTCCAAGTACTTGCAGCGCAGCCAGGAGCTTCCTGCTTTTTCGTCTCAACAGCTCCAACTGCTTTTTCCGGATTTGTATAAAAGGAGAGCGATCCAAAGGTGCCGGGCTTGCTTGGCTTACTTGCCTTGCGCGATCCCCCTGCCTCAACGCTCGGAACCTTCGTCTGGCACAGGGGCCTGGCCTCACTTCGGTTCAGACCGCTTTGCAGGCCACCAGCCACTTGCCTGAGTCACTGAGCAGCCGAGCAGCTTTCAAACGGATGCGTGTGTGCCAGGTTCTAGCAAAGGGCTCATGCGCTCCGGCCCCGGCTGTGACAAGCATTTCCTAGTTTTTGAAGCAGAATTGCCTGGCGCAAGCCCTCACTCAGGCTCAGACGGATCTTGGGAGAGCTGGGATCCAGCGGTATCAGCAAGAGGCCAGTTTACGAACATGATTTTCAACAGTTCTTACTGTACCCCCTCTGCCATGGCGCGCTTGCCACGCACAGATTTCAGAGTGGTGTCAGGTGCAAACAGTGATTTCCAAAGATCTGCCCTCCAAGCTAAGAATTGACCCGTCGAAGCTAAGCCTTGTGGCTGGGCTCCCAGTTCTGCCTGCTGCTCAACTGTGTATGCGAGAAAGAGACATCCTAGCTCAGGAAAAGGACCTCGTCAGGATCAGGGATGAGGACGTTGCTCGTAAGATCTTTCAATACAGGGTACGGTGACCGCTGACTGTCTCTCATCTAATTCTAGTGAAGCCGCAGGCACTTCAGGGCGAGGTTGTTGGAGACTAGCCTTGAGAGAGTGCTCAGCATGCATGGAACACTTACGAATTATGAATCATAATAAACAACAGCACAAAAGCAATCAGGACAGGAAAGGTGTGTCAGAAGCTGTGGACAACTTGGTTGCTGCGGTCAACGCTGGGAGTGTGCTAGACTGGCTAAGGAGGCAAAAGCCACTTAGCATTCCAGACTGTGTTAACACAGAACAACTGACCTTCTACTACGGCAGGCGCTGCGGACACATTCCTCATTTGAGCTTCTCCGACATTATCCGTGTGCTTATGGCAGAGGACTAGTAATGACGAGCACCATCTGCAACCACCGGGCAAGGCAGGGGATGCAGACAAGGATTGTGGTGGAAGACAGGAGCCTCACAGCACGGACTCCTTGCAGCGTGCCAATCCTCTGTTGCGGGAGGCACGAGGGGAAACGCAAGACGCGTTATTTGTTCACGCTTCCTTGAGCAAGCCTGTTTGCACAGAAGCTGCTGCAGGGTGATGTGGAGGACTTGATGGAAAAGGCTGAAAGAATTGCCACCACATCGCCATCTTTGGGTCACTTTGTCAGTCAGCCATCTCATCACAATCCAGTTAATGGATTACCTGGCAGGCTGTTGCGATGCTCTGTCGTGGCGTGCGGATTGGTCAGGCCATCAACTTATAAGGAATCTCAGTGGGACAATGAGAAGGCCGCCTGACAGGCTTGCAGAAGCCTTGGCTTGATTGCCAAGCTGGCCGCTGCTTCCGCTCGAGCTGTCAAGGCCGGGGATTACAGCAGCCGACGCTTTGGCTTCTCGATGTCCTTAGGGGCTTGGAGCTGCACCCGGATGGCCAATGACATTTTGAGCCCGCGCAGGACAGCGTTGAGATGGCTGTTCTCCAGGCCCTCAGCTTGGATCAGTTGTGAACATGTTTTGTCTAGAGTCTAGAACGCGTGTTTCCTCAGGCGCAGGTCACAGGACAGCTTACTGCAGCTGGCACCTCAAATCAATCTCACCTGCAGTGTTCCCTGCACTGGTCTTTTCCATCTTGCGCCCAGGAGCGCTTCTTCTGCAAAGTGCGGGGCGACATGGTCTGTGCATCCCCTATGCTATCCTATGCTGCTTCTGCAATTCTAGTAGCCGCTGCTGTGATCTTGGTGTCAAGTTGTCGGGCCGAGCATTCTATGAGGTTTCGACCCACGTCTTCTTGTTTTCGAGTTCCTGTGCAACATGCTGCTTCGGGAGGGCCAGGTGCGACATCCTTGAAACAAGTTGTTTTGGTGTGGAAGTTTTCGAAGCCGCAGCATAGCAGCACAGCGCGAGGTGAGGCTTTTGGGAACATTCCTGCAGCGAGCTGCGCAAGGCCGCATGTTGAACGTCGTGTTCATCGAAGCAGACGACGGAGCTGTTGCGATTTCAGGGCAGTCTCTTTGCCATCAGATGATCATGGGAGCCGGAAAGACTACAGTGGCTCAGCCTGCTTGGAACACACTTGACTGCGGGGCGGCAATGTTTTGAGAGCCTGTTTTCTTGCGCTTCCAGGTGATCACACCTCTTCTGGTTCTCCTGCTTTCGAATTGTCAGCGGCTCTGACCCAAGCTTGAAGCTGGATTTTGTTTTCAACAGTATCAGCAGAGATATCAGCAGTGGGTTCCATTCTTGACGCTGCGGCACTGTGCCGAACAGGTTAGTGTGCGCGTGCATGCCAGCCGCGCTATTGGAGATGTCGAGATCAGTTCTCATTGAGCGCTTTTCCTCACCTGTGAAGGGCTTGGCTTGGGCGCGAGTCGGATGCAGTTGCTGTGGGCCGGCCTGGGCGAAAGCAAGGCGCTGATGAAAGCGGTTCTCACTTTGCAGTTTGACCGTGCAGGGGCCAAAGCTTCATCCAGAATGCAAGATCACAAGACCTCTTCAGCACCCGACTGACCGAGTCCACAGTGCCGTCTCTGGCACTTTGCCAGAAGATCTTGACAGCGGAGCAGAGACAAGCTGCCATGGTCCAGCCCTCAGCGGTGCCTGCACACACTTGCATTCTGGAACAGCCTCAACAAGCAAGTGAGCATGAGAAGGTCCCAACTTGAGGCTGCATGGCCAATTTGCTAAGAATTTGCTCAAGACGACAGGGATCGCAGAGAAGGCCTTTCGATCGACACGGGCGTTGGCAAACCCAGCGGAAGAAAGATTGGAGGAATCGAAAAAGTAAAGCAGCCGCGAAGTCTGAGCCAGGCTTTAGAGCTTCAGCTGCTCCACGTAAGATCTGCGACTCGTAATGTCAGACAGCAAGCTGATTCTCATGCCATGCAACACTTTGCTGGATTGATGGGTCGGTTCTTACGATGCATGCCCCGACCAACCTCCAACTAGGGCCTACGTCCCGCGCTTTTCCGTGGAACAATCCGGACGCTTGTTTCGTAGCCCCTGAGCATCCTGAGCCTTTCAAGAGCAAAGGGAACAAGGATGCACACGGCAGGGGGACAGATTCTTCTGCCTGCCAAACATGCGCTTACAGGTGCCACAGGGCCCATGGTCAATTTATGGGCCAGCCAAGAAGCATACGGTTCTTCCAAAAATTGGCTTGCGTGGACGTCCCGCTAAGAGCATACCGGAAACAGCGGTGAAACGTACAACATTCCTGTAGCAGAGCAAGATGCCACTTCATGCATCTATGTACTGCGTTCCTGTGGGAGTTTCAGCCGATTGGCCTTCCGATGAGGGTGCGTTGGATGCATCTACTGGGCTTGATGGGTCCCTGCTATCAGCATGCATATCTTCACAGCCTAGGTGGCGACCCCAACCGCCCCGTACTCAACATTCCAGCGACTGCACGTTTGTGAAGCGCGGTCTTACAGTAATGTGTGCTAGTTGCTGCTAGTTGAAAGAGACAGCACCTGCAAAGGGCATAACGTTGACATGCCAAGGCACTGAAGAGCATCCTCCTCAAACAGCTTGAGTTGCTGAACCAGTTGGACAACAGTCGCAGGCGTGAAGTGCTTCAGCACACAAAGTCTTTCTTGCGAACAGACGAGACGTCCAGCGGCCTGCGTCGCTGCTCTGATAGAACTGCCTACTGTACAAGAGCATTTACCCTGCTAGTTAGTCCTCGAGCAGGCCTTTGACTCGGTGGATTCTTGTAGAGGCTTTTCTGAGTCTAGTTCGGCTATGCCGTCCGCAGGCACAAAGCTAGCGGACAAACTTGACCATCTGTGTGTGCTTGGCGGGCCTCTGCTGCGGACACCATGGGCACTGCTGGCCTAAGTGTCCAGAACTCGCTTATCGTTCCACCTTGACGACACTCCCAGGACACTTGAACGACCCCTCCTCCTGCTCCCACCAACGGGCACTGCGAGTACTGGAATGGGTTTGCGAGCCGCGAGTGAAAAACCCGCGCCGGCTGATGCTCATCATGCTGGTTGGAGCTTGACAAGTCACACTGGGGCCGTTTCAGGGGCACCGTGACCCTTTATTATGGTGGTTCGGCCTTCTTTTTGCTTGGTTTGCCAGCTGCTTAAATTCGGAGCTCCCCCGAGCTCCTGGTAGTCATCCCAGGTCTTCGGGAACAGCAAAAATCTGACAGGTGCAAGCTGCAGAGCGATGCCCGACCCCCAGCAGCCTTCCAGCTTATCCAGCTTCACATGTGGTGCATTGTGGCTCCTTTCTTAGGCCAAGCCAAACTGGCTTGAACGACTGTTTGGGGGCGGCAAGGCTAGTTTCGCGGACGAGCTGAGCCCAGACCTAAGTTGAAGAGACGAAGGCGCCAAGTGCATTGATTAACGTCGAGTTGATGCATCTCCTCCGGAATCAGAAGCTCCCAGGTCTGGCATACTGGAGAAAGAAAGTCCTTACTGCTTTGGGATGGCCTTTCTTATCAAGCTGCACTTTTTATCTGCTTCATCTCAAAAGCACAATCAGAGTCCTGGCCCTCCGTACTGGCCCACTCCCTTGCGCGATGCACAAATCTAAGAGCCGGAAGCAGCAGGATGAAAGAAAGCCAGAAACATGTCTCAGCCAAGCCTGAAACTGGCGGGTGGAGAGCCCCCTTGACAGACCAGTCCCGCGGAAGCTGAGGACCGGAAGAAGAGAGCGCCAAGAGCCAGCAAGTGCAGTATTGCAACCAGGCACACCCTGCAGCGTTTTTGAGTTAGGACGTTTTCGCTCATGTCTTTATGCCCCAGTACCCCTGTGGCCTCATACAGAACATAGTCTTGCAGGGCGCCTAGGTCACAGGTCCTCAGGCGCACGTTGTTTTGCAATAGGTCCTCGCCAGATTTCACCACGGAGTGCTGCTCCTGGATGAGGTACCGGCGTCCAATGTTGATTCTCGTAAGCTCAACGATTCAGATGTCTGATTCTTACCCTCATCAGGTGGATTTGCTGTGGGCACCCTGGTCAACAGCTGGAAGAAGCGTAGCATCTTGCCCAGCATTCTGCGCTGATCAACGGCTCCGCTAAGGTTGGATCCATTGAAGAGCACGCTGCCCAGACAGACGCACTGCTTAGAACGAACTTAGCAAGAATCCGCATCTCATTGCGACGTGCGCCCATTCAACATGGCAGGTGAACTCAACTGGCCGACGGGTTTGAAACAGCCGCAGCTATCTCAAGTCGTGGCGCCGCTTGCCATAAAAGCTCCTGCTCCATCGGATGGAAATTGCGAGGCTTGACCTTGAGGAAGCAAAAGAGAGCAAAGATCGCTTCGGCCGAAGCCCACAGTCAACGGAAGCTTCACAGGCAAACAAAGTATGCGATCATGCAAGGTTTACGTCACAGGCTTCCCTTCCACATCCTTGACATCATATTTGCAGCTTCGCGCGAGGTGAGATCCTAGTTTGCCTGCAAGGGGAGTCCGTGAAGCTACTTTTTATGTGCAGGCTGCTCTCGGGCGTTTTGATGACCGGCGCGAGGCGATCTTGTGCAGGCAGTGCATTCCCCAGCTACCTCATGATTGCCAGGCTCAAACAGCCCTCAACGCGCTGAAATCAAGCATCAAAGCACCTTTAGATGCAAGGAGTGTTCCAACATGTAGCAGGTGTCCGTGGCTTGTGCAGGCTTCTGCTTGTGAATGTTGAGGTCGGATGTGAAAAGCGGATGCTGCAGTCGGTGCCGCATCTTGTGGACCTCGACTCAGCCCTGAGATGCCTGCAGCATTGCATAGACCAGATAGCCAACAAAAAGTATCAAAGAGTGAGCTAAATCGATGCCCAAGGTGCTGTCAAAGGATTTCTACAAATCAGAAATGCTGCCACACTTGGCTGACTGGCCGGGATCTTGTGCTGGGAAAGTAAGGGTGCTGGCATCTCTTTGGTACTCCCAAGGACGGCGATATTCCTGGAAAAATTTGTCAAGGGGCAGGCCCAGTTGCTGGGTGGATGTGGCGGCTTGTCGTCTCGATTGGAACGTCAGAAGCAAAAATTAGCAAGATGGGGAAAGTCGAATGCAGGGGGAAGTGGGGAAGAATCACATTACTGTGGAGTGAAGAATCATATTAGGTACTACTGGATGAAGGCAAGCAGAAGTGTCGAGGCCATGTTGGTAGTCCCGCTTTCATGGATTCTCTGAGTGACGTTTGCCGTCTCTACGTTGGATTTGCCTCCCTTGCTTGCCAATTGACTTGTGTTTTCTGATGGTGTTTGCTGTTGCTCCGCTCTTCCAGCCCGTTGAGGAAGGGCATCTATGTCCCACAGACTCGAAAAAGAGCAGGCGTCTGCGAGCCATTCAGATTGTATTGACATTCAAGTCCCCTAAAAGCCCTTAGGAAAGTTGCATAAATGCTGTCTTGTGGGGAGGCACTTTGCAGAGAAGAGTAGTGCGAAGACGTGCCCAGTCAATGGGTGTTCTGAAAAATCGAGGTCCCCTCATACAGCACGCATAAAGTTTGGGTCCCCATTATGAGGACTTTCAAGAGGGACCTCTGAATTTTTGGAAGCCGGCACTTGTGGTTGAACAGTTGTAACAGCTCAGAAATTGTCGCCATTCTGGTATAGCTCTGCAGGTAGGCAGCGCTGAGCTTCGGCAGCTGCTTCGCAATCCATACAAGCTGGAGGAGCCCCTGCATGCGGCATCGTTCTTGTATGCTCGTATCATATTTGGTATGTATGTGTATAGCATGTGATAGCATGTCTAGTGTGCACAATACGTGTAATATGGGCATAAGAAGCCTCTACAGGTACATGCTGTACGCGCTTTTGCGATGAGCTGCCGGAAAGTCGCGCCAAAAGCTGTCTCAGGATGGGGTCAAGGAGAAGCTGCGAGTTGCAGAAGATGGAGTGCTGAAGCCCTTGAATCTGGCAGTCGACTGGCCCGTGCCTTGTCTGGCCAAGGTGTGGCCTGACTGAAATTATACGTGTCCACCGCCGAGGCTTCACGAGCTCCTACCTCACGTGCTCAGCAAAGTGCCGCGGCTTAACCTCGCATATTCTATTCCTCTTGTTACAGCAACTCTACCAGCACATCTTCATGGCAGCCGAGTACTAGGGTGGCCGGCAGGTACATCGAGTGTCCTACGGTCTCCTTTCTGGCGCTGACTTAGAAAGCCATGGGCTGTGCTTGCAAGTCGCCAGTGATTTGCCCATCGAAGCCAGGCAAAGCCTACGGTTCATTGCGTTTCATCATGAGGTGCACTGAAACAACGCGGAACGGCTCGCTCGAGGCTGAGGCCCAGCAAGAGAAAATGCCAGAGCTTTGCAAGGCAGCGGGACAGCCTCTTTTTTTTTGACAGGCTGGCAGTCCCGTTTGTCGGCAAAGATCGGCCGAGTGAACAGTCTGGACCTTCTCTGACTTGACGGCAGGGATGCACATGCCAAAGCATGTGATCTGTGGGCTGTTAATTACGGCACAAGTTAGTTAAGGTCGGAGTTTTCACACCCAGATGTCACTATTGGTCTGGGACGCAGAACTCGCCTGCAAAAGCGAATTAGCTACCACCTGAACTGCGCAGGCTTCACCATTCTTGCCTACCGCTTTACCGGTCTGCGAGGGCCACCCGAGGCTGCAACTAGGTGGGGCATCAACGTTGTCAAAGTTTGGCGATGGGAGGCTGGTGACCTCAAAGAGCTGTTGAAGGCAAGTAGGACCTACAAGCACTGCTTCAAACCAGGAACTTGCGCAAGCTTCAGGCCTTGTTCGACGAGATGAGAGTTGAGGGCACAGCCCGGCCCATAGCGCCCAGTATCAGACCAACACCCCCCAAAAAAGCATTCGCTTAATACAAATTGTTTGCCGGACATGTACATTCTTACAATCGGCACTGCCGATTTGACATGAGGTCCGCTACCATCGTCGGGCTGCTTGCTTGGCCTACGTGGACATGGTTTGCAAGGCTCTGCTTCTCATGAGTTCCACATTGCATCACGGAAGCACTGATTCAGCCATGTTTGCGGGAGGGAACATTGCAGCCATTGGCAAGCGGCGAAAGCGTATGTGGGGGCAGTCAAGCGCTTGCTGCCCGAGGAAAATCTTCCACAGAAAGTCAAACAAGCTGCAACCGTCTTCAAGCTGAAGAAGACTGCTGGCAGTCTTGACAAGCCAAGCTTGCGAGCTCCAAACTGTACAGTTGCACAACCTGCCTGACGGCCATCACCAACAACTGCAGGCACCCACGAGCAACGACGGGTGAAAGATATAGAGATGGTAGGAACAATGGGGTGCTGTAGAGAGCTTCACCTACGGGACGTAATGGACGTAGCTTACTGAGAGAGTGTTTCCCACAACTTGTGGGGCCTTTGCGCGGCATGTTTTTCTTGTCTGCCTGCATGCCTTGCAGTTGATTGCAAGTATGAGCAACACCCCCCTAGCATCGTGCCAAGACTAGTTCAGACAATTGCAGGATTGCGACGCCTCAAAAACAGATTTTTTGCGGAAGCTAAGATAGTTCGGACTTGCTCAAAAGACCTTGAAAGAGTCCCAGCAAGATCTTAATGCCACAGTTTCCTTGCCAGGCTGGAGGCAGCGTGTGTTGCCCTCGAGAACAGCATGCCAAAGCATAGGAAATTTGAAGCTGGCACTTCGCCAAGGCGTGGATTCAGCTCTGAAGGTGTTTGGCTGGAGGATGTCAAAGAAAAGGCTCGCCAGTGGTCATTCATCATGTCTCTACGTGTTGGCTGCGTCGACTTGCAGACCTGGTCGCCAGGCTGCGAGGCGACGAACAACCATCCAGGATCGTTAGTCCAATTTCTCAGAGCTGCCTTTAGTACTTTCTTTTGAGCCCTCAGGCAACGCCTGAGGATGTCAAGGGGAGCAGGCCAGGCACGTCCGGCAAAGCTCCAACCCTCAGACTTGCAGTTGAGCCAAATAATTTAATGAGTTGCATAAGTCCTGATTGCATTCCTAAAGTTGCATGCGCGAGAATAGAACTTCTTCTTGATCTGAATAGTAGTGCTGCTGATGATGATGGCGATGACGGCAATATGCACTGCTATACACTGCTACAACGCTTTCACATGGCGGCATGATTTACCTTCATTGCGATGATTCTTATTGGTGCGGTCATGTGTCGAATGGCCATAAATCGTCTTTGCCAGCATCATCATCATCATCATCATCATCGCATGCAGGAGCTGCTGCAGATGTTGCGATTTTGCATGCCCGGGCACTTGCGAGTCCTAAAATTACTAAAGCCAACACGCAGCACTTGGATTTCTGAGAAATGGCCTAGTCAGGAGATGTCCGGAGAGTTGAGAACTATTGCAATTTACTAATGGCTGAAGAGGCCCAGTCTGTGGCCACTGGAGATCCTGGATCTTGCGGATCCCGTGAGAGTCTTAGATTTTAGCTGCCGAAGCTGTGCACTTCAGAATGGTCCGTCGCTGGCACGCATGGGCGTCGCTGAAGGAGCAGATGCGCGCAGTGTACGACGTTTTGTGGGAATCCCCTGTGGCTCTGGAATATCTCTTTGATCACTCCACCTTCTTACCTGGTGCAGGCTGGGTGATGTTTGCCGAGCTAGATTCCAAAGCGAAATCAAGAATCCGTGACTTCAGGCATCATCGATGTGAATCCAAGCCAGTACATGGCCTGCGGTCAGGTGAACTTCCGTCTGCAGCAACTTGAGAAAACGCCCTCGACAGCACTTGCAGGAACTGGCTGGACGGCAGCTCTTCGGGTTTTGCTTTGGCTTCAGTGGTGAGCCTTCAGATTTTGCTAATTAGCTGCAGCTGTTCAACTGTTCGCATTGCGAAAGAAAAGCTGTGACTAGGGACGCCGAACGACCTGCTGCCAAAGGCAGGCCAAGAGGGTAGAGCTTGAGTTCGCGCTTGCCCTGCAAGTAGAGGTGATGTTTCACCATCCAGAAGGTGGCATGCTCTATTCTCAGTGCCTGCGAGGCAATGGGCAGATGCGCGTATGCCAAAGGCAGCTGTGGTGCGCCCTGGGCATGCCACGCGGTGATCCTTATCTGCAGAGGCGACGATGGCAAAATTCTGGACACTCTCAGCCAGCCCGAGGCCAGGGAGGGCATTGCTCGTTGATGACCCTGAAGCTTGGCCTTGATTCCTTGATCCAGGTGGTCACCGTACAAGAGCTCGACTCTTGGAGTCCCTATTCGCTCCTGGATTTCATAGCAAAGACGAAGTCTGCGGATGGAAGGCTGCTCAACTCTTCACCACTAACGCATCACCTTGCCAGCACCGAGCACTCCACCACCTTACTCCACCGCTTCTGAAAGGCCGAAATACCATGCGTTGATTGACACGGGCGCGCTGATCACGGGAGTGACGAATCGCGAGGTTCAAACTCCATGCTTGCCGCATGAGCTTTTGAAGCGAGGTAGGTAGTCGTTGGATTTTCTTGGTCTGATGCAGGTGGCAGCCTACCTTCTCAAAACTGGCCTCGAGGGATTGGAGGGCGTCGCTTCATGCTCACCTTTTTGCACTACAAGAGTGGTTTTTGCTAACACACAGTTGTGAACGTGTTTGTGCTTCTCCTGCCAAGTCTCAAATACAAAGGTTTTCCTCAACAGCCTCGACGAACGCATGGTGCTATTGCGTGGCGGTCCTGGTGATTACAAGCTCCATTTTGTGCCTATCGTGGTAGCTGCCGACGTTCACGGTCCAGGTGATGGGAAGGAAGTGTCGCTTTCCCAGTGAGTAACTCAGTCTGCAAACCAAACAGGGGAGTGCCAGGATTTACTGACCTCTTGCAAGGTGTGGCCTCAGCTGGGACGGAAGCTTAGGAATGGAATCAGTTTGTTGCATGTGCTGCATATCTTTGCGTCGGGGTCAGAGCGTGTGGAGATGCAAGTTCGCCGAGGGGAGCCGATTCTCGTTTTACGATCACGTTCATACAACAGGCTTTGCCACTGGGACTGAAGCACTGGAATTGGTAGTCTATTGGCGTGTTGTAACAGGCATGGACATCAAGCAGCCAGTCAAATGCACAGTGCGTGCCTTGAGTTCTCGCCTTGCATTGGACGTGCTGTAAGTGACACCTCTTGGAGCTGGAGGCTTGCCTCACCTTAAGCAAGGACATGACCTTCCGTGATTATGCTCAAGGCGAAATGACGCAGCTGGAGACAGATCTGTCAGTAGCTTGCTGCACTCCATACTAGGAGCCTACAGGATGCGAGGAGTGGGTTCATGTCCCAGGAGTGTGAATATCTTTAGAGGTTCTGCTCATCCTACCGGGTGCTCTTCGATCTCGTCAGGCCAGGGCCAGTGCATCGAGATCCTGCTGATTCCTGAGGTCGCGCCAGACACTCAGATGCTCCTCGGGTATTCCAGTGCTTGGCCTCCACATGCGGTGGCGGCCAGACACATTAATCAGTGGAAGCGAGAAGACGCTTTCCGCCACTTGATATGATAGAAGATCCTTTTGATGCCAGTTAATCCGTAGGCAAGAAGATTGCGAGAAGTGAGAAGGGGGAACTCCAGTTGACAACCTGACGGTTGGGTACCGTCCAAGCACTGAAAGTTGTCTTTTTGTGCTGGAAGAGATATCATTGTCATAGTCAGTTTAAACGTATCTCCAAAGCCGCAGAAATTCTGATGCAACGCTATAAGAGCGGCCCCCCTCCACTTGAAGCCATCACACTGTCGGCGTCACATGGAGTCAGTTGACAGCACGCAGGTCATTGGCAAACAAAGTGCTGGCCAAGGTCGAAGGCGGCAGGCATACAGTCCGATGTCAAGCCTGGCGGAAAAAACACATGAAAGGCATGGATGCAGCAAAACGCATGGACCGCTTGGAATCAATGCGGACAAGCAAGTCTTGGGGGCAACAGATGATTGTGCCACCCTCAGGCACCTACTCTTTGCATGTGTTCTGCCAGCTCTGAGATCCAGGTAGATATTATCTCCTGGTTGGTTCTCAATGGCTTGGTGAAGGATGACGAGCATATGTCCAAGTGGTTGCACGTTTCAAGGCTTGTTATCTCTGCAGCGAAGGACTTGAAGAAAAGCCGTCTACTTTGCCAGCGCAAGACTCAAGAATTCTTAAGATCCTAGCTGCTGTCCTGATCGCTCGAAGCAAGGCAAAATGCCCGCAACCTCTGGAGAGAGCATTTTCCTCGGCCGTTCTTGCCACCAATGAAGATTTCTTGCAGTTTACGGCGGCCGAGGCATGCCACATCCCACTTGGAAAGCGCACCGCAGCATCCCCAGTTGTGGCGGTCGGCGGTTTTGTTCTCAAGACTGTCAATGCGCTCAGAGTTTGTGTGTTCAGGTCTGACGTGCACAAGTGGCTAACAAGCTCCAAGACCAAGACTTGTTTGGACTGCCTGTGTCCCTCTCAGACCTTCCCCGTGTGCGTTTCCACGTCACAGGATGGAAGGTGAGCCTGCATACTAGGAATCCAGCCTTGAGGCGAAACAGAATCGACTTCACGGTCTCGAACGCAGTCAAGACCTCAGTCAAGCGACTGCAAAGTCTCGCAGAGACGGAGACTGCATGTTGCCTTTTTCGTATCGACAGGTGCCCGGCAGCCCGGCCCAGCCCCTGCAAGACAAGCTTGTTCAGGACATGGAGTTCCATGTTTCAACACATCTCAGCTGATGTGTTGTTTTGCTACAGGAATTTGACGCCATCCGTCGAGCTTGCCTTGGAAGTGAAGAAGCCGTATTCATGCACAAACATGTTTCCAGGGATTCTAGCGGCAAGAGATCTTGACATCCTCACAAGTCGGGTATGTCGTCAGGGTAGAGCCTAGGTGATGGGCATGTCTGGAGCACAAGCATGGTCAGTCAAGTCTGCAACTCAAAGAGAGGGAGGGCAGCCATTGCAGAGCTCTGCGATGCACGCAGTTGCTCAGTGAGGTTGAAGCTGAGTTCCAAGCCATTCTGGCCCCATTATCGTACCGCCCACGGGATCTAGATCTGATCCCAGCCAGCAATGTGTTGCGGTGATGGCGCACCTGCTAGGTCTGATTCGGTGTCGGAAAACGAGAGTGCAGAGGGAGGGCTCGAGCTGGGTGGAGAGCAGGCTCCGGGAAAATTGTTGCCGAACCAGAGCTCTGCATCTTGACAGGTGGCAATGATGCTGATGTTGTTCTTGAGGGCAAATTTGCATCGTATGGCTTGAATTTGCGTCTCTCCTTGTCTGGTCTTGGAGTTGAGGTTGAATGTGGGCTCATTGTTAAACACTGTCATCCGCACCCCACTGCTGGGAAGGACGGTGATGGAATGAAACACATACTAAACCTTGCCAGGTGCAGGAGCAAGAACAAGAGCAAGAGCAGGACAGTACGGAATGATTTGGGTAGCTTGACACGCAATTGCGGAATCCTGATCTGAACATGCCTTCGCTTCGGCTGATCCTGTGCAGAACGCAGGAGCAGGAGCAGGAGCAAGAACAAGAGGAGGAGACTGTCGGGCGATTTTTGTGGTGAAAGGATGTGATAAGGCCCCTGAAGTTTCTAGATACGCCAGTGTAGTCAGTGCAGTTTCTCCTTGTTTCGCGTGAACTGCGATGGTTGTCTGCTGAGGAGATGGAAATAGAGCAAGAGCAAGAGCATGTTCCGGAGGCCATCAAATCAACATCAAGTTTGCGATGGACGACCAACACTTACTTTACCTCTGCAGGCTCCGGCTCGGCTGCAATATTCTCGAGATGATGAGGCGCCAAAGCCGCCGGGACCCCGGTGTGACATGGTGTGACATGGCACTATTATGTCTTAGCTCCTATGAGGAGAGAATTCATACTTGTGCCCTGCTGTGCGGTGGTGTTGCAGTTACATCCCGATCAGCTTGCACATCGCTTTGGCAGATCCATTACGACTTGAGGGCTCGCAATATGTGAAGCGTTCTGGCCAAAATGTTGTTGGGTGGGAAGCGTCGGATTTCCCAAAGCCTTGTAGAAGGGACTACCTATTGGAAGTTGGCAGCCAACATCCAGAGCCCTACAGAAAAGGTTCGGGTTGGTCGACCTAACAGCCAATCATCGACATTGGCTGCATTAGCTCAAACCCATCCCTGCTTGTTTAAATCTTTATGGCGTCGTTGATGAATGCCTTAGGGCCAATGTGTAAAAGTGGCTCCACGGCCCGGAGACCATACAAACGCCAGATCATTTTTCAGCACACCCTTGCGGCTGCGTGCAAGCGCTGACCTGAAGCAGCAGAAATCTTGGGCCGTAACAGAAACAAGGAGGCACAGCGCTAAGCCGAACTTCAGGTGGCCAATTCAGGCCTTGACGAAGGATCTGGCTTCTTGCGGACTGCCCTTCTATCCCCTGACTGACTTTGCACAGAGCTCAGTTCCTGACGAAGACTCTAAGCCCTTTAAGCGTTAGAGACATCCAACTTGACACCATGAGGCTGTCAACAAAGGCATCATGGGACACAAAGTTGAGTCATTGCAGGGCCTGCCTCAGTTCATATTGCCAGGACCTTGATGAATCGGAGTTTGCAAGCAGATGCGAGCAGAGCGTCATTTCACCCAGGCTCAGTGACAACTACTATCGGAGGCGCAGCTGTTTCGCGGCGTATCGTAGGCTGTGCAAGTCCTCTTGCAGTCTGCGTTGGAAATGGAGACCAAATGGTGCTGATAACCAATCTTTTTCAGTTTCAAGACGCCTGTCTATTGATGAGTATTTTTGCAGGAATGTTTCTAGAAACCTATTGCTTGAAACTGGACATAAGCGCCGCCCCGAAGTGTGGCAGTTTCGGCGATTCAGAAAATGACCTTTCGGGCATAAGAACACTTGCACCTTCTAATATCCGCCCTGGACTTGCTTCCTGCAGATCCCTCAGCCGTTAGCAGGTCCTGGCGGCTGTCCTCTGTGCTTCGCTCAGCACATGGGGACTGCTTGAAGGTTTGCGGCACGTGTCAGCTGCCCTTTCTGCTTCAGGTGCGGCGCCTCAAGAATGTAATTTGTTTCCTTGAGTGGGCCGCGGCCTGAGATGTACCAAGGCCTAGAAACAGCACAGGTTCAGCCAGATCAATTTCAGACAGAGATCGCGGGTATTGTGCCACCGTGCTGGTTCTCAAATATCTATCCTTTCTCGATTGAGAAAATAGCTTTGCGGGGAAACCTAACTTGTCGGCATGCCGACAGGGCATCATCATGCAGCCAGATAGCTCAGTTGCAGTTCTGCAGCAGCGGCTTAGGTCCCGGACGTTGCATCGTTGGCCACACTTGCCAGTGCCTCTAGGGCTTGCAGCACTCTTGATTGGCAATGGTACGTGCTTTGGAGGCTCTTGTTACTGTAGGCTTGATTGGAAAACTCACTGGCTGGCTTTGATTTGCGCTCATTTCATGGTCGCTCAGATGCATGCTCTCTGCCAGTTCAAGGCCGTGCCATGGCAACTCAGTGAGCGTCAACGCGAGCGATTGAAAGAGGTGGCCTTTGTTTGGTCACGCTTTCTTGTCCCTCAAACTTTTCTGGCTCTCAAAGCTGAGGTGTACAATCTGTATGACACGGACAGGGCGTGATGGCAGGTGCCAAGGTTTTGTCATCACAATTGCCGTGTTAGCAGGATGGCGACAAAAAGATCCAGGGCCATGAGTGCTTTGGCTCAGTCTCCATGTTCACTGCGCTGAAGTGGCATTGAAGAGACAACCCTGCCTGTATGGTCGCCAGACTTTATTCCAGGTTGCGCGCGTTCTTTCAAGCGTTGGACTTGGATGAGGATCGCCCTATTACGAGTTCTCAGACAGCCTGCTGTAGCATGCCGTAGCTACCAAACTTTGTGCAGGAAGGTGAGGACATCCAGCAGCCGCCTGAGACAAGCACGTGTCGGGCTGGCCTTAAAGCTTTTGATTCAGAAGTCACTTGAAGGAAGAGGCATGACGGGTCCTTATCTCTTCAGGAGATTGAAGAGGCCGGAGCTCAAGCCACGCAGTGTTGAGGTGGTAGCCTCCTGCAAGCCAAGGAACTGGCCAAGGAGACTTTCTACCGCATGCAGAAAGGGCGGTACTTCGTCGCTTTGTCACTGGAGGAGGCGAAAGGGCCGCTGAGAAAGAGAGGCTGACTGCTCGCCTGCTTGCAGAGGCCGAGCATCTCAGAGCTTCGATGCATCTTTTGACGAAGACTTCCTGGCGTTCCTGCGGCTTGGCCTTGCCCAGCGCCCCAGCGCATCCCAGCACCCAAATGTGTCCAGCTCTCTGCTCCATTTTGCCTTGGCGTTCTAGGCGTTGCCTCGGCAATTTGGAGTCCATGCTGGATTCGTCAATGCTGGACGAACATGGGCCAGCAACGAAGCAACACCGTCCTGTTTTCAACTGGGGGCATAAAATCCCTCAACACTGTGAACATTTGTAAGCCGCATGGCGACTTCACTACCTACATGCTGTCCCGTCTGCCAGATGCCTTGCAAGAGAGCTGGCTATTTTCTGGTATGTCGTATGCATTTGCTGAGGAGGCAGCATTTCATGCTGTCCCGTTTGCCAGATGCCTTGCAAGAGAGCTGGCCATGTTCTGGTATGTCGTATATGCATTTGCCGAGGAGGCAGATTCCCAGAACCCGCAGAAAGGGGAATTTGCATTCAAGATCAAATCGCACATGGTGACATCGTTTTGCAGCACGGCAGGTCATGACACTTGCTTTCTGCGACAACCCTGAACAGACACTCCAGGTCAGCCGAACTTGGCTACCAGCTCGAGGCACATAGCTTGTAGCTGCATTCAGCAAGTCGCAGTGCGCTGGGGTAAGGTCAGGATTTGGGCATGAGGTCGTTATCGTGACGCTGATGCAGCTCCTTCATTGTGAGATGCTTGCAGGTTGCGGAGCAGGTCCTTCGCTTCACAAACTCGGCTGCCAACTTTCAGGACTTCCCCACTTCCTGATGCCTTTTGTAACTCCGCCTTCAGCGTTTGAATCCAGCGCCTTTCCATTCAGGCACGTGAGCTGAGCATTCTGCTGCGCTCTCTCCAGCGAACAGAGATGCCAAAGCGAGCTCCATGGTGGTTGGACATTCGTGCCTGCAGGAACTGAATAATGTTTAAATAGCTCAGGCATGCCTCTGTTCAAACCTGAAAGCTTGCCGCGGAAACTGCGAGGAGACGCTCGCAGCTACCATGGCAGCAGCGGTGCCCTGAGATGCAATCCCGTAACCACACCTTGGATGCTTCCAGCATGACAATCTGCTCTTCCTCGGCTATGCCATATTTAAGGAGGTTTTGTCGCGCCAGACAGCTTCTACACTACACATGCTTGCTACAGTTCTCCAGAGAGGGTATCAGCTCGATGGCATGCGTTGCAAATTGAAATGCATGCGCAGAAGATCACACAAGCAAACTTCCAGCAAGAGGAGATTGGCTTCTGGACTGGGACAGCATAGAATGTTGCAGATGGAGCCTGCGCAAGAATGTACCAGCTGCAGCAGCAAACAGGGGGCAGAAAGGTGTGGCCCAAAGTTGTTTGAAACTGCTCGCCCTGGCGCTCCTTCCTGACACCACTTGAACATTGTAACGTTCTTTGAAGCATGTATGGGCCGAAGCATTGAAGCATTTGAGGCTGCCCCTCGCGAAGGAGCGAGCCTTGGCTTGCAGCTTTCTGCCAGTACGAATGAGAGAGTGCAGCGCAAGGTGTTCGCAGAAACTGGTTCCGATCTTGGTTGCTGTAGGTCCGAACAACTGATTAGCTGTTAGCCTTTGCCTTCCAAGATGGGCTGGATGATCTGGCTGTGCGTGCATTCCTGTCACGACTGAGTTGGGCGTTCGGTCCTTAATTGCTAACTCTCTACTCAGACCGACTGGAGCAGATCATTTGCCAGATGTTTGTACGCAAGCCTTGCTAAACGAGGCTAGCTGCCATGCTGCTGCCTAAGCCATTCAGAGCAAGCATTGTATCGTGCAAAAATTCAGCCCCTGCAAGACAAGCTGGAGGCGACTGACTCCAGCGGACGCATTCATGAAGCTGGACCTTCGGAAAGCTGAGTCCGTGAATAGACTTGGAATGGTCAAGTCGAGCAAAGCTGGCACAGCAGCCCGATGCACACGATCTGCAATGCATCGCAGCTGCAGGACTCTGACCGAAGCGGGTCCATCGACGACAAAGAGCTGACAAAGGGCTTGGAGTGGCTTGGCCTTCGCAAGGCCGATGTTGTTACCCTTGCACGGTGTGGTGCTTCTTAGCTGGCGTGCAGAAGGCGGTTGCCAACAACACTCGGTGGCCGCAGCACGTTGCCAAAGTCTTCAAGGCAAAGCTCACCCAGTCTGAGCTCAGCAGAGGTAAGGATGCTGCGTGAAGCTGGCTCGACAGGTCATGGACGCAGATGGGGACGGCTTGCTATCTTTGAATGACTTCAAGGTTTCGTAATTTGTTCTGTCAACGTTGAATTGGCTATGCGAGTTGCGCAGGGGGCCCTGGAATTGGACGAGCAGGATTGGCAAAGCGTTCCAGCCGCGTCGGAGCCTTGCCTCTTGTGGCTTGAGCGAGTTTGTTGAGCAAGCTCGGTCGCAAGCCAAGGTCTGTCATGCGAGGGTCCAAACCTCTGGATGTGTCTGGCTAGATGTGCAAGATTGTGCAAGTCTAACCGCAGCCAAGTTCAGAATGCATGGTCCTCAGGACGGACTTACCGCTGTCATCTCGACCACCAATGCCGACACTGGTCAAACCTCCAGGCCGCCCTGCAGAAGAAGCGGAAGCAAAGCGGAAGCCGCTTAGAATCCACCTTCTGCAGCACAGGCAAGGAGCAAGTGAAGCTAGGTGCGGAAGCCTCGCGCCCAGCTGCGAACAGCTTCGATGCCTCGGGGAGCGCGGGGGGGCGAGCATTTCCTGAGGATGTCAGGTGGTTGCCCAGTGGCAGATTTCGCTTCAAATGGCAGCGGGCTTCTAAGTGCGAATGGCTTGAGCTTGCCTCTTTCATGGAGTTCCTTTTCCGGCTCAAGCAGCCAAGGCCCCATGGAGACTTTGTGGGGACCTTGTGCTGCAAGGGCTCTCTGTTTCTTGAGTTGGTGAGCAGCACGGAGTTCCAGGCTGAAGTGTGGAACACACAAGGCTCAGAGCTGGGTATCAGAAGAAACCTGGTGGAATTCGCAGTCTGGGCCTAGGCACATTGGCAGAGAAGAAGTTGTCAATCTGGAAGCCGGAAAAGCTCCGAAACAAGGACATCGCTCCAAGTTCATACACTGCACTACGACTTTTTTTTGGGTGAATGTTCGAAGGTCAGGGTTGCAGAGGCTTGAGTGAAATCAGTGGAACGCTGAGGATTTTGGAGGTCGCATGCTTGACATGCCAGATCAACACTCCACGTGTCGCAAAACAGAACTGACAGAGAACTGTAGCCGGTGGCATCACTACTTGGGTGCACATGTGGAGCATGTGGAACATTGTTTGCTTGCAGAATCCCGATATTCGGGGTGCGGGCCCAAGCATGGCCTGGAATTTTCATTCGGTCAGCATTGAGCACAAGCAGCGAGTGGTGCAAGGTCCTCAAGTGAAGCAGCGCATATGCACCACTGCCTTTCTTTCATCTTGCAAGCTGTTCTTCATTACTTGATTGAATTGTCACGATCACGACAGGTCTTGGCGATTTGGCTGTTGCTGGTCTTGCCAAGCCGCATGCCTGGGGCTCGATTTCCCGCTGCTAAGCGGCTGCTGGCGACCCTGCCTGTTGAAACTGGCAGTTGTCATTGAAAGGCGTGCTAAAGGCGTGCACAGTCCATAGGCGAGAATGGTGTCGCAGAATGCCGTGGCGATGTGGGATGTACTACGCAACATCGACTGACGACTTGCACAATATTCAGCTTTTAGTCTGGTCCTCCTGTGCTTAAGCACCTTCATTGCAATTGGGCTTTATTAGATTATTAGATGAGCAACTGCAGGGTTGGAAATTTCAGCAACGTTCTAAACTCACATAGAACATGCGGCCACGGGCAGCATTCTCGTGTAAAAAGACAGATTGATTTGTTTTGTTAGCAGTGCCTTCGCAAGACCCATCGCGGTACTGCTGCAGGAAGGGGATTTGAGCCTCTCCGGAGGATTGCAGGGTACAGTTATGTCCACATGTGTCAGCCTATCAAAGTGCGACGGCGATGACTGTTTGATGGTCCCAGTGCGCACGCAACTTGTGGTACAGTTCCAGTTGCGCAAGGTAAGCGGGTTTGAGGTTCTTACCCCGGTAGGCTGCTGTCATCACCGCAGTTCTGCTCCGCGAGTGCCCTCGTAGCAAGCTTCTAATTCGTGGCAATCCGAAGCAAGAAGGAGGGAATTCCGGCACTAGTCAAAACCAACGAGGTCTTAGCCAGGTTCGGCTTTCATGTCACTAGTACTGCTTCAAAACCTTGCTCCAATCCGTAGCAGTCAAGTTTGCCACGGAAAAGCTGTACAAGGCCGATTTTTGCTTCGCAGCTAGATACAATATGCTGATATGCATGAAAAGCGTTGAGCCCACATCCCTGTAGAATCCAGTAGACTTTTCCGAAGCAGTTCAAATGCTTGCATTGAAGAACCCCGCATGACATGATCTGCGTGGCCTGCCCGTCAGAGTCATGTCAGTGCATAATCTGATCTCCCAGGTCACTATAAAGTACAATGAAGCAGCTGAGGTTTGCATTCTGGAGGTGTTTGATCAAGAAGAGAGTGGTTGGTTTCATTCAGGGGCTTGCATCTCAGCAGCATGCCAAGCTTAAACATCTTTTGCCGAAGCCGCGGCATGTTGAGGATTATTCTGGCCTGGAAGCATTTCTGGATGCGGTGCTACCTCATCCAGCGGCTTGTCAGAAAGCCTGTGAGATGTGATAACTTTTCCTCACCAAGAGGCTAGAACATGCCTGAATTGGTGGACAGATGCCGGAATGGACTGAGATGATGCTTCCAACTTCTTGCCCTCAGATTGCCTCAGGTCAGCTTTCGGAAGGCACAGCCAGATGGAAATTATTTTGAGGGAAATTATGTTGGCATTGCTCTGTGATGTTCTCTGCCCTCAGGCATGGTCTCAAGTTGCTGGCGAAAGTCAGCTACACCTGTGGAGGTGGGGGCATTCTAGGCTCAGAGCCACCCCAGCGCCTCTGCATGTGGCATGTCCCTGTTAGGCCTATTCCATCATCCACGGACTTTGTTGCCATTGGACTGGTTGCCACGGAGGTGGTGCTCTCTTCTGGCAGATTCTGGCGCCCTTGATGCTGCTTGAAGTTGTTCACAGGCAGATGTGGCGCCAGAGGTGCGGAATCTCACAGCAGTAATTAGCAGTGCGCACTTCTGCATGTTGCAATTTTGCAGGAGCCATGCATAAAGGATCAGGCGCATCACGTGCAGGTGACCCGCGTGCGCTGCATTCCGCGGGTCTGGACGCAGCAAGTGCGCGTGGCTCTTTATCAGCTACACGTCGCATAGAAGACGCTCTGAGCCAGGTCGGTTCCGAAGAGGTGTGGACAGATGCAGGTACAGGCGGTCAAGCAGCCAAGGTGTTTGCAGGTATCCTACAAATGTCTGCGGCATCAAAAGCAAAGCAGTGGAACGCGCACGCGTCTTCAAAATCTTCTGAGGCCGCGTCTTTTGGTCAAGCAAAACGAGGTACCATCTTCGAGGTGGGGCATGCGATTTCTTGTATCTGTGAAGTGCAGAAGCACGCAGGTAGCTGCGGGCGCTTCAGCGCACGAAGCTCCGCAAATACTCTGCTTGCGGGAGTTCTCGCATCAGGCATGTCAATTTTTGCATCAGTGATTGCACGGCAGAACTAGTGGTTTTTGCTAAGTTTCTCCAGGTGTTCCTGGAGGTTCCGAAGGGTCTGAGACAATGAGATGTTGGCAAAGCGGCCCCTGCTGCAGTTGCCTTGATGCTCCAAAGCGAGCATGTTATTCATTAGTGTCCAGCTGCTAAGACTCTGCCAACTCCTGCTATGCATGTTTGCAAAGGTTTGGCAGAGGCGCGGTGGGAGATTTTCGATTGCTTAGCCATTGATTCAAGAAATGACTTTGCCTGCCTTGCGTTGAGAGTGACAGCTCGCAGCACGGCCTGGCAAAGAGCAGTCCAACACTGGGCAAAGTGCACTTGGAACATCTCGGAATGCAGCCTTTTCCAGAAGGTTTCGACACGGGGCTTAAGCTTGTTTGTCGCCATAGTCTCCAACGGTATGCTGTTTTCGTCTGCTCTTGGGATCATTGTGCCACAGAATGCCAAAGTCATAGTTGACAGACTAAGAAACTTGAGCAACCTGTTTGACTTGCGTGTGCTGAACAAGCATCTAAGCTGTGGGTTTGCCGCAGAGCTTCGCAATGGAGCGGCGTGTGGACCCTGAAGATGGCAAGGCTCAGACTCTGGATGAAATGATGCTCAAGTACAAGGGTGTTTACAGCAAGAGTGCGACTTGGTTACTGTTGGTTCTCTTTGGCTCCTGCTTTTTCTGCGCGAAGGTATCAGTTTCATAGCGCGTCCCTTCGGCAACTAAGGAAGTTGCGGAGTACTTCAAGTCTGAGTGTCGGCTTGCAGCAGGAGATCAGAGAGGTCCAGCAGAGATCGATGGACTTCGACATTGGCTGCGGGAGACTGGGTATGAGCGTTCTTACCTACAAATAGTGCGATGGTGCGATGAGAATGGGGCGGTGCTTCTGGAAGAGGTTCAAGAGAACTGGGAGCAGATCGTCAGCGATTTGAAGCTGGTGCAGGCCGCCTGCCCGACTCAAGCTGCAGGCCAGGAACAAGCAATGCTGGAAGTGCCTGGCCTAGCCAAGTGGCTCGAAGAGGTCGAGCTCGAGGAGTACTTGGAAGATGTCCTGGAAGCTTGATGGACCATGCATGTCCTGAGAGCAATGCCAGAGGTTCTAGAGGTGCACAAGAAGTGCATTCTTTGCATCTTTTCCCAAGGAGTGGTGCCAGGAGAAGGGCGTCAGAGCCCTGAAGGATGCTGATTTCTGGATTTCTTCTGCTGGAAACACACAAAGTCTCTTCTTGAAGCTTGCAGGACATCCAAGCAAAGTGGTTTGACATCCTGCAAGACTTGAAGTTGAAAACTGCCAAAGAGCAGTTGCCTGGAAAGCGCGTCTCAGTGCGGGTGCTCAAAGGCAAATGGCAGGGGAGCTACATGGCGCAGGCCTGGTTGTCCTGATTAGTTCCAAGGGCAGCCATCAAGTTTATCTTTGGTGATAATCTGCAGAGCCGCAAGCTGAAGGTACTTCTTCGTGGCGTTGTACATACAAGTAGAATAGCAGTAGTAGATCCGCAATAGCTAACACGGCGCAAACCGCACAAAGCAGATGAAGTGTGCTTCCATGCAGCAAATCTACGCAGCTTTGCTGTTTGGTAGCTTCTCGCTTTTGTGAAGTCTTCCTTCATGATCTTAGGCTGCAATTCTGACACAGAAGCAAAACGTGCATAATCAAGCATAGCCTTTAATTCATACGCAGTTGTGTGCAAAGACTCAGTGAAAGCTGCACTTGTCAAAGTTGTTTACCGTCATGAAAGCCACCTGTTCTTCTTCAGGGCCCATAAAATACACTCGGCTTGGTTAAAACGAAAGTTCAGCCACGGCGGCCCTATTTTGCAGATTCACTGTAAAACGATAAGGAATAAAAAAAGACCGATGAGGCTTTTATATTTAATATTTGCATGATTAGCATATGGATTAGGGAGCATCCACTGTAAAACGATTAATTAGGAATAGAAAAACACTAAAGTCCATGATAGGGTTTCCACAGACGCCAGCTTTTCCTTGATTCTCAATTCAACAGCCACAATTATTGGTACAAAGGCTGCATAGGATGCATACCCAGCAGGTACCCTGTTAAAGCTAAGGTATGGTCCGGTCACTTTCTTAGATCCAGAACTGATGTTCCGCGCGGCAGTTCGGAACTTTTGCATGCATGGCCGAGTGACTATTGCCAGCCTCTGATCAGGAGCATTTACGTTGACTTCCGAGTATCGGCTAAGCGTGGGACGTTGAAGAAGTCAGTACTCAATCACATCATGTTACCCTAAGTCATTGAGCCTTTACTCAGCATGTTCGAAAATGCAGGGCCCTCCCGTAGCAACCACTTGCAAATCCGTCAACAACACCCCATCACGAGTTTAGCACATTCACCGTCTGACACAAGTGTCTGCGTCCTTGCTCTCTCTCTCTCTCTCTCTCTCTTTCTCTGCCTGAACCCTCAGCGCATTCCAAGAGCTCCAGCAGACAGGCGAAGGACGGGCAGCATTTGCAGTCTGTGTTCCCAGAGCGTGCTTAGAAGGATGCGCATTTCACACGGCATGCGCGATTATTGCGCAGCTATCCTGTGAATCAGCTCTGTGGGCAGGTCTTGGATGTGACGACGGCGGGAATTCAAATCAGGCATTTGGAGGATGACTTCGAGGAGACGCTGCCGCTGGATGCACTGGGTGGAGGGAAGTATCTGCTGGAGCCCGTGGACTCGGACGACGAGGCAAGCCTAAGTACAACCAGAGCTAAGACCTTTTGCTTGCCTTGCCAATGTCTAACAATGGCTCAGAAAAGAAGGCCCTCCTCCGACCCAACAAGAGTTCATGTAGAAAGTGCCCGCTCTTGTTGGATGTGCCCAAGCCTTTGGACGTAATCCACAATTCCAAATGGTCTTGTCCCGCAATCTTGCCAGAGCCCTTTTTATATATCTCAGAATCTCCGCAGGAACCTAGAAATGAGGTTTCATGAGGTTTCCCTTCTCTTCCCATACAAGTCATGCATCAAGCACAAACGACTCAAAATCATCCTAACGCCTAGGAAGCTGCAACCAGCGTGTCAGAGCTGCTCCGCGCTGGGCAGCTGCGTGTGGATGCGACAGGCCATGGCAAGAAGCTTATTACCATTGCCACCGTGATGTTTGTTACCGCTGGCGTCTTTCAGTGCAATGACGTCTATTTCTACACCGTACTTACAAGTGTAAACTTCGGTGCATGTCAGCGCATGCCTTGGCTGCCGGATCGGAGCGGACGGGACAGGGTGCGGGGAGCTTGCAGGAAATCCGTCAGCACGAGACAGACAAACCTGTACAGACTTGCGTGTGAGCGCAGAGGTGGCGTAGGTACCACGTTTGCAAAAAGCAAGGGAACGTGCACGAACCAGGCACAAGCCACCTAACGGAGAAAATGTAGAGCTCTACAGACTGAGACACTTCCCCTGCCACAACAAAACCTCGAGCCAACACAACAGAAGCAAACATCATTTTCACGAAGTTGACGTGACCGGCGAATCCAGGAGGATTAGGGGAGTTCTTTTTTGCGTCGACAGAGCCTTGCGGTCGGGTTGCTCGAACGATCAGGAAAAGCTCACAGCTTAGGGGTCATCAGGAGTGCAATTGAGGCCCTGCAATCCTGCAATGGCTTTGCAAGTCTAATGCTGCACTAGCTACGCACAGATCTGGTGGGGATTGGGGATAGATTCAGTGGGAGAAAGACTGAACCCGCTTTGCACGACCGCTGGAGTTTGAGGCGAATTGTAAGACGGTACTGCTGGTCAGATGTGTTCAAATGCTTCCAATTTGACATGTGATGGCTGGTTTTCTTGCTATGCACGAAATGTTTGGTTTCCAGGATTGTAAACGGCCGGGAGCTGGCTCATGTTCTTCAGGAACTTCACAGTTAAACTTATAGAACTTTCGTAGCTTCATAAAAGTGTGGTCCCTACAGCGCGCGCCTCGTCAGTTTGGGCTGCCATGGCCTCCCTATAAACGCTCCCCGCAATCTCAAGAAGATTCTGTTTATTGTTGTCTTTTGCCTTGGGCTGCTGCGTGCCAAGCAAGTTGCACCCTTTGTTGCTAAAGCCATCAGACAATAAATCAGGAGCCCCTGGCTAACAAGCCCCCTCTATGAGATCCTGTTTTCCCTTAGGTGCAGGCCTGGAGCTTCGCTGGGTTAAGCTGGGCTACGCCGTCGACAAGGTTCGGGGGCTCTTGTAAGTTCTGGCAAGTATGTATAAATCTGTATAAAACCTCTCGTTTGCATCTGGTGTAGCCTCGAACCGAAAATGACTCATAGGTTCTCATTCTCCGACCCTTCCTCAAAGTTGTTGCTCAATTCTTGACGGCCATCTCAAACAGCTGCGTAGCCAGCTGCCGTATGTCATCTCACACTGTCCCGTCCCATTATGGGGCTCAGGTGCATGAGGCTGGCCAGTTCGATCAACGTGTGCGCCTGCGTGCCTGTCTCACAGTGCCACCTCTGCCAGACCCAAACCTGAACCCACTGCGCAAAGCTCCGCATGTTCATTCGATTTGCTTTCCCAGCCACCCCAGCACAGCTAAAATGCCTCAAGCCAGCGAGCATGCTTCCCCTCTACAGAAAGCATCAGAAAGCTGCCCTGAACGCCGCGTATGTGCACGGGCAAGTCAAGTAAATCATAGGTTCTTAAAAGAAAATCAAACTAGAAATACCAAATCTCAGGATTTTTCTGGCCCGGGGAAAAATATATTTTTTTTACCACCCCCTCGAAAATAACGACGCTAACATTACAACTGCTACACCCTCGGGCATCCCACCAGCTGTCCGCACAGCTCTCAATCGGCAACATTTCATGTCTCGTTTTCTTGAAAGGTTTGGGCCCCTAGAGTCTAGAGAGAATGACATGCACAGAGGAATCTACATACATCAGGGCTTCCATCGCAAAGATGGTTGACCCAATTAAAGGACCGGAAAACCCCACATGTGTAGTTTAATCAAAATCTATGTGAAATGACATTGGAATACTGTCGCCCGCCGAAAATAAGAAGACATGTTTGAAGAGGAGGTGAGAAGACGAAACGATCATTCTGAACGATGCGAGGAGTTGGCGACGCGAAGCCGAAGAAAACACATGTTTTCATTTTATGGCACATGATCGCCATCTCGCTCTCGACATGGTCGTTCGTGTAGACCTGAGTCATGTTTACTCAACACTAACACTGAATCTCGGACAGAATGCCAAGCTCACACCCTGCCGTCTCACAATAGGCGTAGATGCCGGGAAACCGCCGTTGACCAGGTAATAAATGCTCACTTTGTACTGCTTATTGTGTTGTTTCTGCACTGTTAAGTTATCCGTCTTGTTCGGGAATCACTTCGTGGTCTCGATGAACTGGATGTCGATCAAGCCCATTGCAGATCCACAAGTTAGCAACGACACAAAGAGACTGGCATCCACGCGAGCAAGAAGAAGATCAAGCAAAACAACAAATTGTCAATGGCAAGTGCACATCCAAGCAAGCACATCGAAGGACGGTCTCGAGAGCAGGAGTCTGAAACTGCGCGCCTGTTGGGTGCCGGCGCGCGTCTTATGAGCACAGAGCAGCAGTTTTTTTCCTTCCGAGAACGGACAGGCGAACCCAAACTGGCCAGCACTCGGCGGGACTAGTTCCCGATCATTAGGCCGCATCGCCAGAAGAGCACCCCAGATAAGCCCTCATGACATTTGTTGCCAGTCTGCCGCAGCTCCCCATCCCTGGTCGCATGTCGCCAAACTGAACGG